TTAAATATAAATAAAATTATTATAAAAAATATATAGTTGGAAAAATATGACAAAGGAGAAAAGTGAAAAAAAAACCCATTTTTTCTCCAAATTTTCCGAGAATTTATTCAGACTAAGAACACTACTCATTTATAATACTGCTATTTACTCGTATAACCTTCCCAGTCACATTACAACGTAAAACACAAAGCAAAATAAAAAAAATTATTGTTTTGCATAAAATATGCAAAGCAATGTTTTTTAACATGATTATTTTATATGTACAATAACAAAGCAAAATAAGCACGTTAAAAAATCTAATTAAACGAGAGAAATCCTGCCCTCGGTCAAAGCGGATCTTAATGCTTAAATATTTCTGTATGATTTACATATATATAATATTATACATATTTGATTTTACAAATTGTGTACGTCGAAATTTTGTTTTGATCTTAAAATAATCGTACGCAGAGAACCAGAAATAACGTCGCTCATTAAATTGACAAGCAATTTATATCTTTCGATGCTAATAAGCATCTTTATAAGAATGTTAATAATCTGATGTTAATGAGTATTTTAAATCTGCAAATAATGTTGAAAAAAAAAATATTGTTTTGCATATTTGACACGGCTGATGCAAAACAACATTTTTTTAAATATATACAGTATCGATTAATGCATCTTTTTCGACGAGATGCTTTAAGACGAGAGAAAATACCGTAGGCAGGCGCCTTAAGTGTCATCGCTAAAATTACTTAGCGCAGCTCGGGACGGCTCCGCTGATTTCGGCCGTCGTCGTTTGGCCACCCACCGACCGACCACGCTTCTCTCGCCCATCGCGAACCATCGTACGAGGAACTTAAGGAATGTCCGGAGCGTTAAACTTAGGCGTTACCGAATCGTGTCCGTGCGCGTCACGGTCACTGGAATTCCGATCCTGTGTGAGAAAATGCCGAAGGTAATCCTGGAAATTGTAGAAATTGCCGACTGCGCGATTCGTCGGTCGATCGACAGAAATCGTAATGATCGCACATTTTTGCTTTTTCTCGATATCAGTGATATTCTATTATTTACGAGATCATCGGCAAGCTTTAAAACGCATCGCGAGGAAGTGTCGCAATTTTTTAAACACCTTTAACCTTCCGTCCGAGTCTTTTTTTTTTTTTTTTTCGTATAAGCGAAATTTTACTTTGTTTATCCGAGATAAAGAAGAATAAACTCCAGTTCCCTTAACGCAATACATTTTTTAACTAATTTTATATATTTTTATTCAAATTTCAATTTCTGTTAATTAAAAGAATAAAATATGAGTGCAAATAGAGGATTAAAAAAATACAAAAATATCTTGTATGATGCATATAATAGCCGTTAATTGTGATTTTATATGGGATTACGCAACTTCATTATTTATTATGCAGCTTTTGTCGAGTCTGCGATTGATAAGATGTAGCATAATATGAATAATTATGTTACTTCAGAATTTTCGCTCACGATTTATGTTAAAGTTATCTACATTATATACAAATTTGAAGAAGATATTAATCGTTAGAGCAAAATATCGTGTCTATCAAAATCGTTAATTAGACAATTACGTTTTTCAATTAGCTCAATTTTCTCGATCTCCACGGTAGAACTTCTATTTATCCTCACAACGAAACAAACAACTGGATACTGGTGTCTTTGTACACAATCTCAACATTATTAAGTTCTTTAGGAGGCAATATCAAATCCCCCTAATTATTCCTTCTCTCAAAATTCACTATCAAAAAATTAATTCAATTACATCTTTTTCGACTTGGGTAATAATTTGGCACAACAGAACATTTTTAATCGAAGAAACGGATTCCATGTCGTATTAACCAATTAATTATTATCGGCAGACGACTTTCGAAAATCTTCGAAAGCGAACGCATTTTATCGAATCCTATTCGCTTTCCGCTAAAAACGGAAATAGTAAAGCAATGGGGATCGATAAATGCAACATTGGCAGGATAACCAGAGTTCTTAATATGTTCACAAAGCAATAGAAACACAAATTGGGAAATCTGCGGAATCATTTAGCTCTTTATTCAAAATTTAAATATAGAAAAAAGAAATTTGTAAAAGGCCAAGAACTGATAAAAAGATATTTGCTGGCAAGATTAAGAGACGGTGTCTTTTATTTATGACTACCGCCGAACTGACTGCTTCCGGCCACTCTCGACGGCCTTCGGGCCGTTCACCTTGCTCCGCATTGTTCGTCACGAGATCACTCGAACATCGTTCATTCGAACGATGTCATTATATGCGCGCGTGCATCACAGCATCGACAAAGTCTTTCCCTTGCCCGAACGTGAATCACATTCGCACACCACGCGCGACGACCCCCCCCCCTCCTTCCTCCCTCTTTGGTAGCTTTGTCGAGCGTATTTCAATGCTCCGTACACATCACGCGATATCCACAATAATGCAGTTATTCGTGTGGAAAAAAAAAAAAAAACAGATATTCGTGCCTTTTTTCATAATATCTAAATATAAAATGTAAAAAAAGCGCGTTAACGATGCAAAGATGTTTCAATTATAAAACAATTAAATGCTGGAATGGAATCAGACACCATTGTTTTTTTTTTTTCCATTACATTTTAACACATTCATGTTTTTCTGACGATTTCCAATTTAACCGCTATTAAAGTATAGTTCAAGTGACGCAATTATTTATAATTTATATACTAAATACGTGTGGAGAATAATTTCAACAAATTTTCAGTACATAAATTAAAAAATAAATTTTAATCTAAAAGAGTCGTTACACGGCATTCGAATAGACGATAACTGATATTCGCTGCGATCACAACCGCTGATACAACGGGGAAAAAAAAAAAAAAAAAAAAAAAAAAAAAACTAATTTATTCGCAGCGAACTACGTAGGATTTCACGAATCGTTGGCTATCCGCGTTTCAGCAGAATGTTCTCTCCACCGAGATGAAGCAAGAATGACGAGCGTGCTCGACGTCGCGCTTTTTTTCATAAAGCCGACCGCTGTTGGCATGCACGCGTCTTCCGTTTTGCGTTGCGGTTGCTCGCTCGCGCACGCTCGTTCTCCTCCACGCATGTATATACGCGCGCACACGTGCGACCAACGACGACACGAATGCATACGCACACGCGTACGTAATGCCGGGCACGTACGACGAACGCGCGCACGCGGTCCCGCGATTCTATAAATAAATATATATACGTTCCGCTGGTCTCTCTAATCTGCCCTGAGTGCGCGTCGCGAGTCTGGCGGACAAAGGACGATATCAGCCACCAGAAAATCGTTGCGAAACGCGTATCCAGATAATAAGCCGCGGTCTCTCTCTCTCTCTCTCTCTCTCTCTCTCTCTCGCTCCGAAATGCGGCGAGAAGCGCGCAAAAGCGAGTTAGCGAGCGCGCGCCTACATCGCGTCGCCTCGCGTCGCATCGCGCCACTCGCCCCGCGCGTGTAATTCTATACCGCGGAAAATAGATCCTCGCCTAGAACGTCGCTTCCAGAACGAGGACGATAGAGACTAATTGTGCGATCGAATCCAGAAAGCGCACTCGTGACCGCTCGCTATGTTATCGCGACCGAGATATATCGCGCGCTTATACGATGATCGAGATATACGCGGGGCTTGGCATTGCTCCTATCAGAATACGAATTTCAGTTATGGACATTCGAAGCTTTAAGACTCAGGCCGTAAGAAATTGACGACCGTAATCGATTATTCTTCTCATATTCGACTGTGACCCGGTCGATTTTTTATGGCTCAAGACTTGAAGCTTGAGTAACGGCTTATTGTAGATAAAGATTATTGTGGATTAAGACCTGTCCTATGATCGTATCGCTATTATGTACATTCATTTTTAAAAAGTGAGAGAGAACCATAACTTATTAGAATAACTATACCATTATAATTTGTAATCATGCCAGATTAATTCGCCATTTGTTGGAAATGTCGCGACGTGCAGATTAATGGCCTTCGCGTGCGCAGGTCTAATGATTAAAACGTTTCGCAATTTTGTCGAGCATATTAATATTTCTTCAGCCAGGTAGTTCTGAGAAAATCCCCGCATGTTAGGAATTTAAAATATTTTAATTTAAATAAATTGAAAGTGAGTCAAAAATTAAGGTGCGGAACAATGTTTTTAATTTCAAAATATATAAGGGCGAATATTCAACAATTTTTCTCTCTCAAGATAGAAAGATTAGTGGCACAAAACTATTGATTTTCACACTTTTTCCTATAACCTGAATAAAACTGTAGACGTCGGATTGATTTGGAATATAAATATAATCTGAATTAGATTAAACAATTAAACTTGTCTCAAGATCGACAACCGATCATAAATTCGAATTTGATTCATGTTTTATGATGATCCCTCTGCTAGTCTTATTAATCAAATGGTCGGCATGAACGATTCTCGGTACACTTGCGATAGTTTCACCGAGGCGGGTAGAACTTGTAACGTTATTGCACAATGTTGCACAATTCCTCGCTCGTTCGCATCGCAATCATCATCCCGCACATAAACCGAACATTCGTTCGCTCGCTCGCTCCAAGGCGGGAGCTTTCTCTCCTTCAAGTTCGCAACAATTACGCGATTAGCTCGTCGCTTCGTTATTTCCGATCGAACGAAGCATGACGGATTGGCTGATCTTTACCGCGAAAGCTTAGCTGCGCGATCGGCGATCCGCAATTAATCGAGAATGAAGACGTGAATGAAGCGCTCTCATCGAGTTTCGAAAGCGCGCCAGAGCCGTCGCGTTTATTTTCAGATCAGAAACGATCGTCTTGCGGAGGACTTCCTCGCCTCTACGAGGCCCTTTCCAAGTGGACAAAGAGCCACTTTATTCGCGCCACGCGATCACAATGAGATCGAATATCGCCCCCGTCAAAATGTATTCGTCTCGGAGTTTACGCATGTCGTTGTCAACGTACGCGGTAAATATTTCTCAAATTCTCTTAGCCGTACGTATCAAAAATGCAACGAGAAAGATATTCATTAGATAATGAATGATAAAGAAGTATTTTTGTCTCGAAAGTAAAATAATTAGCATCTAATTGATTCGTTTTGCCAACCAAGAGATTGCTTTAAAATAAATAAAAATTGCGTCGTATATTCGTCTAAAATTGATCAAAAGCATCTTTTTTATTTATTTATTTTTTATATACTTTTATATTAATGTTTACAGAAATGGCTACATGGTATATGTTTCTAATAATTTTATCCATTAAACAAATTTTGAAGTCTGACGAGGACTCAATTTAGAGTCGAAACTAGTTACATCACCTTTCAAGTAGATTTTAAGTAGTTTTTTGTAATCATATTTTTAACAATTTTGTATTCGTAGTTTAAAATTAAATATATCAACATGTCCATACTATTTGTAATTTTAATCTTAATTTGACTCTTACTTCGCCCTTTTATTGTTATTGATTATTATTTATTCCCCACGGAAAGTTACAATATTTCACATTGCAAGTTCAGGCGCGCGAAACGTGTCGTAAAATTAGATTCAACGCGTGTTAACGAAGAACAAACTGATCTAATATGTATCTTCCGAAATAGCGGGTAGTGGCTTATCTTTCTTGTACGAACTTCTCTCTCTCTCTCTCTCTCTCTCTCTCTCTCTCTCTCTCTCTCTCTCTCTCTCACAATAATACTTTACTTCGTACCGGAAAATCCTCAGAGACGGTTACCTGCTGATAAAGCAATTCCTGCGCAAGTATATTCGCAATGTCGACTGGATCCATGGCGGTGGCTGCCATAGCTCGAGGGATCGGTTTATTCGTTCAATGTTCGTTTGTTTCGTCGTCGAAAGTATGACGGTGAGAGATAATGGGGAAAGTCGAGGAAGGGAAAACGGGGGGAAAGGGATATAACAGCGGGACTGAGGAAAGCGGGAATAAATAATGAAGAATAAATGATATCTCAGTCGATCGTTCGTTCGTAGAAGATCGTTCGGGCGTCGGTGTGCGCTTCGTTCCTCCTGTCTCGTTTCTCGCACCCCCGTCCTTTATAAAACCGCACCACCCTCGTGCGCTCCGTTTCTCCTCCGCACTTGTCCAAGAAGTTCCGTCGTCACCACTGCGTCCTCCACCGACGCCTCTTTAACACTGAACGAGCGACGCCGACGCCGCTCTCGTCGTGGCCTTACGCGACGACGAGAGACCCATCCTAAAAATAACCTTCGAATTTCGAGTATGTGCGCTCCGCGATGAACGTCGACGGAGGAGAGAGAGAAAAGTAAGGACGGGGGGGAAAAAATATAACATTTTGCAGCTTCGTCGGTCTCACGTGCATGGACCATTGACCGCTAAAAATTGTATACCGTTTTTAAAAGACAATCGTAATTTGGATTGGATCACAAATATGAATAAGATATGAACATAAGAATTAAAAAAACAAATATATACTTGATTATAACAATTATTCATTATTTTTACATGATTATTACTGCCACACTTGGGTTAAAATTGTACATGCATTTCAATGATATATACGATTATTTTGTCATTCGCAACAAATAGAAAGTTTCGATTATTTATGTAATGTAAAACTGTGGAGATCTAGAAAAAAAATGAACCGGTGAGACGATGACTTTGCTCCCGATCAGTGGTTTTCCCGGCGTGAAATTCCCTGTCACGCGGCCGCTCGCCGTCTGGAGGGCCTTAATTAGTTCGAGTTCTAAGTTTAACACCTGTGTAGGATCGTTTGTCGTCGCGCGCCGATACTCGTGGATTCGTCGACTTGGACTTTGGCCAGAAGATCTTCCGCCACCGATCTCAAACGTGTGTAACGCTTCAATTTCGAGATATCAGAAAGACGCGCAAATTAACGGCCGATGCATCATTCTTTCGCATCAGCATTTACAAAAAAAAAAGTTGCTCGTTTACTTAAATCAGATTGGCTATCTCGTTGAAATGATTGTCAAGTTAATTTAAAAAAAATATATAACAATTGTAAGATCTACGTTTTAACATCTTTAATATGTATTTTTAGGAAATGCAGAATATTTTGATTTAAAGATGAAATTATCTTAAAATATATAATTATATAAAATATTCGTATCATAAAACTACTCGTATCTAAACAAATTGTATATATTTATAGATTTTAAATATAAAATGTATTTTTTCCGTTATAATTTATACGTTGTTTTCAATATGCTGGAGAAACTAACAGAGAATCGAAGATTTAAAACGACCGTGTCATGCTGGACAGAGTTGTTTGTCTATCTCGCTGGACATTTCCAGGATGTGGCTTCCTCGTATCGCATCGATTAAGAAGCTGTGTGGCGTCGCGACGATATCGAGATTTATTTCAAAAATATTTCGGGCTGCTGTTTTGCGACAGAAGTCTTAAATACAAAGTCTGCAAAACAACTTGATAAAATCAATAAATGTAATTTGGATATAAATAATCAGACTGTTAATATAAAATTAAAAAATTTAATTTATTCAGACAATAAATTAAAAATTTATTATTATACGATTCTACAAAGGTTAATATATCGATTTCAAATAAATAATATAGAATCTTTTTTATATATATGTGTGGTTTAATTCTTATTATCAAGCAACCAATACGTCTCGTTAAAATCTATTCGCTTTTGTGTCATTCGGAAGGGAAGCTATATGAACACGGTATAGAGACATTCAAAACCAGGCTTATCTCGCCTTGATATGAAAACACGTGGTAACCAGGTTATGATAAACAATCTGCGTGTTTGACCAACCGAGCCTGTCACAGGTTTCGCGAACACTAAACACACGTCGTTTGTATGCGACGATCACTGTGCGTGAAAAGCTTGCCATATTATCCATGACATTATTAGAAAAATTTAACAAAATACGTAAATTTCCAACGGTATTCAGAATATTTTCAGTCCGACGAGAAAAGGAAACGAGCTTTCAAAATAATTGAATTCCGTTTTCTCGATATTTCCACAGAGGATTGAGATTTTATTTTTTTAAATGTCACATTAATTTTAACGTCATTCTTAATTCTCATGTCTGAATATCTCATACTGTTTTTTTCCACGTGAAATTACTACGTAGAAAAAAAAAAAACATTTTCGAAAACAATTTTTTTAGTAGGGAAATAAATAACAAGTAGTAGTAAAGGTTGGAATTATTCTAGGCGTAAACCGGTCTTCGTCATTGGATCATTTCTTTTTATCGGATCACGTTCGTGGCGAAGATTATATTTATTTTTATGTAATACAACGCGCGATTACGCAACGAACAGTAAACGAGTAAATCGACATCGACAAAGCACTGCGCAATATTTATTTATGCGTCTAGCGCATTCTTTCTCTCTCTCTCTCTCTCTTCCTATGTTTTTACTGCCCTTCGCACACACGGTTAATTATGCCATGGATATTATGCGGTAAATAATAACGCAACTATACGTCAGAATAGCGTGTTCTCTGCGAACGCCGGAAAAAGCGCGGTTGAAAGCCGCCACCGTTGCGGCCGCAAGAGCACAACCTTGGATAACAAAGGAACCTCTATCTTTACTTCCATTTTTGCTGTTTTTTAACGCTTCCGTTCGCGAGAAACCCAATGCCTTCTAAATACCCGATTTCACAACTCGCTCGCAAGCTTCTAATAGAGATAACGACAAATGGAGCATAATGGTATGTTATTTTTAATTTTTACACCACATTGTATTATGTACGCACTTTCAAATCACCTCGGCACGTAAACATGTTTTTAGGACTGAGATATCATAACTCTTCTCGTGAATTCATTAAACTTTTCGTTGATCCGTGGAAGAAAAATTCGAAGTTACACGATGAATAAATCATTTCTATCTATCGTGTAATATTCACGCGTATACGTTATATAGTTTGTAGCAAGTTTCCGTGAGTTGAAAGGACGGTTTTCTTTCCACGGTACGAACGTGTCGATGCCAGTGGTAGACCGAGAACAAAGAATGTAAACATGATAACAGACGCATGAGCGAGTAGTTGTGTTTCGAATGCATCGCAACGACGCGATCGTCTACATTGCGTGTGCGTGTAAAGTGCAGCGTATGCAGATAGAGTATATTGCACTTAGAGGAAAATCCATGTGTGTGTAATTTCCTATATGACAAAAAACTGAAATACAATTAGACACGTGAACGAAGAACAAGGATTATCATACAAGTTTATCATTGTTTTAACCAGCGAGAAAAAAAAATGCGATAAACCGACAAGAAAAGAGAAAACATAATTGTACTAGATTACAACAAAAGAACAGTTTTGTCGAAGAGTATTTAGAAATTTAACTAGAGAGACATTATAAAATATTTGGAGTAGAATTTCATTCTAAAGAATTGAAATTTTAATTATTAGACTTCCACTCCAAAAGATAATAAGAGAGGACAGATTTGAAAATAATTTTGTTGTGTTATTAAAATCAATATGTAAGACGCTCAAGCAACAAATACGGCTTTCTATATGAAAAGAATGGCTTTGTTGAAGTATCTAAAAATTTCGTTAGATACAGATGTAAAAATTATTTTGTTAGACTATCGAAACGATTTTTCAAGACGCTTGTCTTGAATTTTTCACGCTTGAGTTTCCGACATAATTATTTTGTTGATCCAATAAAATTATTTTCACAGATCTATACCCAACTTTTTATAGATACTTCAGTAAAATCGTTCTTTCCTTTCCGTGTAATTTTTTATTATTTTATCAAGTCGATGCAGGAAGGAACGCTAGATATGCGAGCGTTACATTGGCGCGATATACTCAGAAAAACACAATGCGCGATTGGGATTTCCCGGAAGATCCCTGTTAGATCAGTGCGCGATTCCGAGATCTGCTGTAACACCGTCGAGCAACAATTTAAATCACGATTTAAAGTGATATCTACTAAAAATTCATCCCGAGCGAGTTTTTCTCAAGTTAATTAAGTCGTTGCGACAACTTCACATTGTACCACTTACTAAAATGCAACGTTTGATTCGTCGAGCAGATGCACGTAAGATATGCCATTATGCGCTGCGATTATCTAGCATGATGTGACGTCAATCGGCGCGACGATGTCGTCACTCGGTTATGTTTTTTTCAAATCGACAGCAAACGATATCGCGGAATCGCACGTTCTACTGCAAATATTGATATAGCATGCGATTTAATATAATTTATCTACTTTCTCGAAAACATTTAATACAACGGCTAACAACCGATTTTACAATCAAAACAATCACCATTTATAACGCTGGTGTATGTTACGTATATTGATATTAACTAATGGAATGTATTTTGTTGCATAAGTTATTCCTTTTGTTGATGATGCGATTGCTGTTATCTACAATCCTGGCAAAACTAAATTGATGTAATACCTTCTAGGAGATGAAAATCGAGATAATAAGATGTAAAAAAATCGACGCTTCTTTTACGTTATGTTGTCAATTTTCTCCTTAATATAGAAAAATACATTGTATTTTTACTAAACCAAAAGCTAAATACACATGCAAATAATTATTTGTTTAAAATATTTAAGTTAATCAAATTTATTCAAAATAGTTTCAAATATATGTGAATATTAATAAAGTTAATACTTTAATCAAAATTATTAAATTAAAACAAATTTGTTCTTCGCTTCTTTTATAATATTCTTAAAACAATAAATTCTTGTGTTTCAAGTGCATATTAACAAGTTTTTCTAAAACTTGTAATGAACGTATTTTAAGATTATTATCAAGAAAATATTGTTAAAGGTCACTATTGTTAAAGAAAAAAAAAAAAAAAAAAGATAAATTAAGCAATTACCTGGTTATAGAATGGTATTTTTCTGTGTGTAAAAAGTACTGCTCCGATTTTTATTTCAAGGGCACTTTACGTGGTAAATGCAGACTTTAGGTGTATAGTTATGCATGAGAGGAACGATCAAAGCAGAAGTACAGTTTAACTTCAAATAGCACGACACGTTACGTGCACGAAATCGAACAATACAGGTCTAAAGTGCAAGCGGCGGAGAAAAACAAACGCGAGAAATAGCGAGACGATAATAAGCGTGCTGAAAAAGCACGCAATAAAATGTACTTTTCGCCAATGCACGAGGATCGGACAGGCCGCATTCTGAGTTTCCCAACAGCAGAGCCAACACAACGTCCGCAATAATTTTTCCA